TTTTTTCCTTTCTTTCTCGCCTATATATACACAGGCATATACTGTACAGAGGAGTGCCCTTGCTTTCTTAATAAAACATTTGTACATACAAGTGAAGATTAAAACAAGTTAGATGGAACCTAACAGTCCGGTTTCAGTTTACCGATCCTAATATCGCCGACTCCCTCTGCAGTGTAAAACCCAAGATATCAGTGGATCAGTGTTTTGTTCACGTGGCTTGTTCACGTGACGCCACACTTTGGACATTAAGTATTTATTTCAAAACTTTTAATAAATGGTTATGCCCTATTGTCGAACATGTTCGGAGGTGTAAGAAAATACATTTTGTTATACAAAAATGATTCGTATATGTCTTTGAAAATCTATACATCAAGCCCTAATGGCTCTATTGTCCGTTGTCATCTTTTCTGGCCTACTTCGGAACTACATCTACACCTTAATGCATAGCTTCGAACCCCCGCTTTCAAATGTTTTCTAAATTATCAAGTACAGTCTTTCCTTTGACAAAGGAACCAGTTTTAATCTTTTCTCCCGCACTGAGATATTCCCAAAATAATATTTGATCATTATCATTGTCAGTGTTAGGATAAAAGCCACTTTTAAAATTTCGATGTACCACTATCGAAATCGAAACGAACAAAACAGTGAATCATTGCTAACTTCTTATGCTGATTCTGACGTACTATTTTGTTTCCAAAAAATATTGTGTACTGAGATAGATAAACATAATGCTGTGACAAAAACTTGATTTTCAGTAATAACGGATGTCCCATGAAAAACGGGCCTCTTAGTATTTTAAGATTTCTTCCCTATTGTCCCTGTTATTAAACCTCCTTTTATTATCAAATATAACGTTTCAAAGTGTCTACAAAATCATACCTGACTAGGTCTAAAACCGTCTAAGCTGCATGTGGAAAACGAGGAGATTAAAGACATAGAGGCAGCCGTAAAAAGTAAATACTTAGTGTTGCATAACAGAGACCGAATCGGGTCTTAGGTGGATGACCCGAACCCGATCCGAGACGAAGGCTGTTGGACCCGACCCGAAATTTTCAAAACCTGACCCGAACGACTCGACAATTTTGCTTAATTGACCTAACAATAACCCGAAACCGAAACGTTTCTTTTTAACGCTATATATAGTGTGTAGTACACACCATCTATGGCGTCAATAAGAAAAGAGAAAAAAAAAGAAAATTGCTACTTTTCGCAGCTCTATTGTGATAACTTTATTTTACAAGAATAAAATTGTTTAAAGAAAAAATGCGTTTGTTTTGTTTGTAGTTTTCCATAAACTTTTCCTTCTAATAAAAAAACAGACTGGCAGTTACCGTTATTTAGAGAACAATGGAAAAGATGAAAAGATCAATCGGCTTACATCTTCAGCATTCAATAGTATGATAATGAATAGACTTACTCGTTAGTAGATGATAATAGATATAGTGACACGAACAGTTATATGTAATTGATTAGTTTGTAGAGTTACTGAACTTCAAGCAGCATAACATAGTAACTCTACAAACTAATCAATTACATATAACTGTTCGTGTCACTATATATATTATCATCTACTAACGAGTAGTCTATTCATTATCATACTATTGAATGCTGAACATGTATCACTTTTGTGATGATGGGAGTAGTATATGATGTTGAACTGGTTGAATGTGATTCGGTGTTAAAACTGGCCGTGCTGGTGAATTATTGGTACTATTGTTGTTTGAAGACCAGGACAATGTAGCAAAATATTGAGGAAGTACATGAGGAAGAAAAGTTTGTGATGCCGTCGCTGTTTGTGCGCCTATATTCCCACTATGAATATCTATTTGTGATTGTATTAACGCATTTTTTACGACACTTTGCTGTTCTTTACTATGTAAAACAACTTTTCGTGGTGCTCGTGGTTTCTTGACATTTGTTGATTTTGATTTTAAAGCTTCTTGTTTTTCTTTTAATACACTCAACATCGATCCGGTTGTTATATCTTCGCCAAATTTTCTTTCTTCACGTATACGACCGCTTGCTTGTTTTACTGGTGGTTGTGGTGATAACGTTGTTAGAGCATCAAGTACGATAGCTGTTACAGCCATATCTGGACTTAAGCCCTGTCAAGCACCAGTACAAACTTGTTTTTTATTAGCAGCATTATCATTATCTGTCAAATCATCTTAAATAAAAAAAGCATTGGTACTTGCTACATGACTTCGAATGAAATGATTTAAACCTTTCCTAGTACAGAAGATCACCCTCTGATTTGTCCACCAACTAAATTGAATTTTTGACTGAAAACTGTGACGGAGACCAACATGATTCAGAAAAAAGCGTTCAGGCTGCTCTTCCATTTTAGACAATAATTTACCCACCACTGTTGTCTTTAAAATCAAGTATATTAAATTTGTATATTTCGATGGTAGTTTTTGATTATGCTGTTTTGTAGATGTTTCTTTTGAATTAGTATTCAAATCAGTGATGTTCAGTTGATCAGCAGCTAAAAACCACCGTAGAATAGATAGTTTTGTATAATCTAATACTGCAGCGCAGAACACATCTTCTTCATCGCTATCTGTAATAAACGGGGGTCAAAGTCTGAGCACGTTTTGTTTTCGTCTCATTTTTTTTCACGTTTATTATTTGTGTTTGTATGATTGACTGCTATTGATGAATTACTAACAATAGTTGATGATGATGGTTGCTGAATATGTGAATTCACATGAGCAAAATTTTGGTTTGAATTGACATTTGATAAAATGTTATCAGGAAATTGTTGAATACATTGTGAGCTCCACGGAACACTAAATCCTTGAGAATTTTGAATGTAAGGCAAGACACAACTATGACTAGAATGAAATGGTGTAAGAGAAATAGATGGAAGTGTGGTGATGGAAGAAAAAGATTTTATTTTAGACGATATACTCATCTAGAAACTTTTCCCAGGTGCTGGCTACACGTAGGGGTCCAGCAATTTATTTTGGACTCAAAC